GATTCGTGGGATTTGATCACCTGTTACTGCGGTAAACCGTTTGCAGGACGGCCCATGATTGAATGTAATCAGTGCAGTGTGTGGGTGCACCTCTCTTGCGCCAAAATTAAGAAGTCTAACGTGCCCGACATATTTAACTGCCACAAATGCAGAGACTCTCGACGGTCAAGTCATAAAAAAGACACTTAGATGAGGGTGATCATTCCCTCAAAGCTCTGAGTGCTCCCAGTTCTCCAGTTTTTGTATCCAAAAGCATTTTTTCAGTTTCAAAATACATTTTTTTCCCTCTCTTTCTAGTTACTCCTTACATGTTTTACAGTCAGTAGTCTCCATTACAGAGTTCACTGAGAAATAATGTTTGTACTGATCTCTTACCTCCCGAGTTGGTAATTGATCTTGGCTCATTTGTAACTGTTTCAGAGATACGTAAGCTAATTGTCATTTGTTTAAAATAAGAAGCTTGCATATTTAGTAAGTGCCACTATTTTTCTTTAAGAAAAGTTAGAGAACACAGCCACACTACATTTTCACAGATGTATACTATATTGGTTACTTTGGTACTACAAGAGTCTATTTAAAAGTAATAAATATATATATAAAACTATTAAAAATACAGAAAAATATTGTCCTGATTTGCCAAAGAGCTGCTGTGAGAGATTGTGTTGACACCGTTGTTACTAAAAATATGTTATTTCTTAGTGAACTGTCCAGTTGATCTTTTTTCATTGGGATAGATGCTTTTGTTTGAAGACTAATAGATGTAATGTGTTAGTCTGAATGCCATTTCCTGTAGGTGATCATAAGACCATTTGAATTACAACCTCTTAATTGAAAAGTTATGTCAGAAATCACACTCAAATGGACTTGATCAGTCAGCTGACATGTATTAGATGTTCAAATATAAAGAGCTATAGGAGGCATTAAAGCAGGGAATCCTTTCAGTTGCAATTATTGATATCAAACATTCGTTTCTTCTAATTCTACTGGTAATGTACAGTATGTTAACCCATGTACTTTGTCGAAGAAGCTATCAAAACTGTTTGGTCTTTAATTACTTGCACAACATAGTGTCAATGTGTTATTTCAGTTTAATAAGTTGTGAAGGCTAGATTTAGGAGCTTTGCTGAAGCTTTCTTTGAGTAGAATGGTTGTAATTATTGTTTTCAAGACGTGTTTGGGGGTTTTAAACTCTGAGAACTGGTAAAGATTACTCATTTATGCTACGAGCTCTTTCTTTTGAATTAGTTTGAAGACTATCGTTTAGATTTATTTTTTTTTTTTCCTTTCTGGTTTATTTGTGAAGCAAGGTAGACTGGAAATCCCCAAAAGCCAGACCTCTCTTGCTTCACGTTTCACTCTGTAAATATCACAGATTTTGAAAAGTGTACATATGTGAAAGTGAAGAGAAAAGCAAAGCAAAGGGTATATTTTTTTTTGCATCTGATATTGTTTTCTTTAACTACCTGGAGAAATAAAACTTTTCTTTATTGGGCTTAAAATGTGTTGAGATGGGTCATGTTTTTGTGATTTAAAATGAGTTGAAAGAACACTAGAGACAAGATTCAATAGTTTATCCATGTACATTTTATTTTGCGGCAACACCAGTACAGCGTCTGTCAGTTTGCACCACTAGATGGAGCTGGTAAGCTTATATTGGAAAAACATAAATACAAATAAATAAATCACAGTTTATAAACCTGAGATGCAATGACTTAATACAAACCAAAAGGTCAATTAAACAGATTTCCAAAAGAAGAAACCACAAAAGTGAAAAAGAACCAAAACTAAACCACATAAGAAGTCCTTTTTAATGGGTATATGTCATCTGTCAGTTTGATCACTTTGCATTGTGTTCCTTAAAATCTTCAGGTTCCTCCTGAGGGGGGGAAAATGATTTTAGCAGTGATAGGATATGCAATCTGTTTAATTGAAATATATATAGCCAAACCACTGTGGTTTTCTTTGTATGAAAATACCTTTCGGCTCCTGGAAGACAAGTGGGAGCTGCCTATGGGGTCCAGAGGAACACTGATCCTCCTCCTATTAGGGGGGGAAAATGTGGGAATTGTGTGTGAATTTGGGCTTGAAAACATAGGAGTGCTTCTACAGAGAACTAAGAGTTCCATATTGAAGAAAATGTTAAATGTCTTTACAAATTATAAAATATTCAAAAGAATTGTATGTGGTTAAGTATAGCAATGAAAATAGAAAAATATTCTATTAATAAATTTTTATTTAATAACTTGTATTTGAATAAATATAGTATTTTTTTTTATACAATAACAGTAAATATTCCTACTCGCCTCTTATCCTTGTTTTTGCGACGGTTGCTGTT